GGTGTAGAAGAATGCTTTGTGTTGCTTCGTGATTGATCACGCATACCCGCAACAAGAAACAGCAACATCAGTAAGATATGTTCTCAATAAACAAACTATGACGAGATACAATATAGGAGAGTGAGTACACGAAAATAACCAAGTCGAATATCTGTGTAACTTTACTGTTCTGTGGCACAACACTGTCGTTCTCTAATTTGATAACGGCAGTGATCGCGTTGCACCCCGAGAAAAAATAACAAAGAAGCGGAGACAGACCTCTTTGATATTTTCCCCTTTCTTTCACTTCCTAGCTATTATCCAACAAAGACGCTACGTTTCGCGAAGGGGCTCACGGCCAGTTGCGGGTAAGCCAGTTAGACAGCATGCGGCATCGGTAGTGACGGGATTCGAACCTGAGGCATGAGTGCCCAAGGTTCAGCTTCGTGACCTTCCGACCACCGTCGGTCAGTCACATCCATTTGTTTTACACATGAAGACATCATCCTACGTGATTCAGACAAAGACGGAGATAAAACTTGGTCATGTGTTAAGCCACGGTCAGGCGCCTGCCTATTTTACCGTAACCTGTATACCTGTGGCTGTTATTCAGTATACCCTCAGCTAAGCTAACCATGCAGGAAAGACCGAAAGACTTTTTGATCTAAGACTAAACTGCCAAATCTCCAAACTCTGTCAGCCGCTTCAATGTCATCAGGTACTTCATATATTGGCTATCTTCATTCATGACAACTACCTTGATGCAAACAGTCCACTAGTGAACACAGTTAAGAGAAGGAGTGTTGGCACTAGCCAGAAAAGTTTTAAAGACCTTTGGTAAAACCACCACTCAAGTAATTACCGGGGTGCACCCACAGGATAGGAGTCTTACCAGCGTCACCAACAAACAAAGCTCCAACCCTAAAAGGCGGATAACAGATGAGTACGTGGAAGGCCCGATTTTATAGGCAAACCCGTACTATAATATGACAACAAACCGAGATCTAAAAACGGGAAATAATCGACCACTTATGTTGAAGCCCGCTAAAGGTGCACCAGCCGAAGAAGTTCAGCCCCGGTAGACGCATTACTAAAAAGGAACAAAATGCACAAGCAGCTTGAGAATAGACCCTTGTACAACACAGGCCCGCCTTATCATGATCATTACTTTCACCCGAGCTTTGCCTCCCAGTCCAAGTTTTACCCATACAAGTACGTGGTGATCTTCCCAAATGCAACAGTGAGTTTCATATTATTCTTTGTTGCGACGGGGCGCGGCATCTGCATAAACAGAGCTTTGTGGGGCTACAAACAAACCTCCTGGATATACTGAGATTGCTTATCCCCGAAAACCTTGAGAAAGTAAAACTACCCCATGATACTTGCAGAATGCGAAAAATGTAGCCTCGTGTAAACCTTACCCAGCTGTTTCCGTACTACAAGCCCTTGCCAGTCCTGCGCACTACGCATAGGTTGCCCGTCCGTTGCATTGGTGACCCTCAGCGGACCACCACGATCAGCGTGACATTGCTTCCCACTGCCCATGAGAAGGAAAACCCTATCGGTGGTGAGACAGCGGTTGACGAGTACTGCGGAAGCTTGCGTGTAGCCAGCATCGGCAACGATTGAGTGGCCACAGGGCACGGCAGCAAGAGTTCACGCGAACAATATTGCGGTGAACAAATGAGCCAGGAAAACGCCACTACAATGGCAGACTCGATTGTCCAATACAGTTTTACAAAGAAACCAGGTTATCTCTTACCTTCAGGGCAAACAGGCAGATAAACACGGAGATATCTATCACCGAAAGAAAAGTAAGGAATATTCTTGAAAAATAACTTTTTAAGGAGTTTACTGCCCAAAAATGGTCTTCGACGAACTGCAGTTGGCGGCATTCGGCTTTTATATCCCTTCAGTGGATGTTACCGACGCTTAAGGCCCTGTGCTGGGGTTGGGGAAGAAACCCTGAAAATTAGCCGCAACATTAAACCGTCTCCGCACACGCGACAGCAACATTGCCGGTAGTTAAGAGAGAGAAAATAATTTCCTTTTAGATTGCCCCAAAGTAGTTCTTAACGACCAAATGTTCCTCATCTTTTACTAAGATGGTACGTGTTAAACTGGCGTGCTATTGTAAAGCTTATCTGGGACTTCAAATAAGATACGAGATGTTGCATTGTGCATTTGTTCGGGGTCCTAGTTCAGTTTACCCTAATCAGGCTCGGTATCGTGAAGGAAACGTGACTCCCACCCGCCCGCTAATGTTGGGTAATTATTGCGATGATCTTCCTCTAGGATACGAAATTATAGTTCCACCAGCCCTTGGTCTACCCCGTTGTATACCGGATAGCCACCATGACAGATCTCAAAGGTGTCTATCACCAGATGCCGACTCTTGACCAGGAAAACCCATCACCCGCTTTTGAGGCCCGTGAACGGCCATGTCAGTTCTGTGGTGTGGCTTTTGGGGTAACCAAAGGAATGCCATGTTTTCAGGAAGAAAAGGACCAAAATAATTCCCACGGAAAAACTGACAGGCACATTCGCCCCTGCCGATAACATCAATGTTTTTGCGGCATTTCCAAGAGTGACCATTATTCAAATCTCCGAAGGTTTTTGGATGTGGTCAAAAAGTAGTCTGACGGTTGGCGAGGCCAAAAGCCTCTCTGGAGCCAAAATACCGGACCTCTTGGGCAACAGCTATCTAAGACAACATAAAACTGGACCTTAATCTACTGATACCATTATTGGGGCCGCTGCCATCAGGAGATTATAGATCGCAACGGTTAGCTGTGGGTCTCTTTGCTTGCTATTAGCCATGGATTTCTAACTTTTCAGAAAAGGCCTGTCCGTTAGGGCACAGTCAAATACTTCTGGTGCCAAAATCAGTGAAAAATGTTTTGCCAACCTCAGAAAAACACTAGCTGAGGCTAGTTAGGTTACGATTGGTTGAGACGTCTCATTTGTCGTGGATACTGATACCTATGATATCGCTATTGCTCCTACTCTCAAGCAAGATGGTCGTAGCTTTAGTTTTTTTTCAGGACGCTAAGCCCGAGTGAATGAAGTCTTTTACCAGTTGAAAAAAAGACCCAAAAGTGGATACATCCGCAGCTGGGGAGTCATTCTAAGCCCACTACTGACCTGCGATCTCTCTCCTTATTTGAGAATCAACTACCAGCCGGGGACAAGAGTGACAAAATCTACTTTGGAAATGGAACTGTCGCCAAGCAGTTTCGATTTCACTTGCAAACCACAGAAGCAAAACATAACCACAAAGATCCACTGCGTCCTTAGTGATAGAGGGCAACCAGATCCCGAGATTTGGATTGGGGTAACACATAAGGTCTTGGTGGGTCAGGTGTGGTAACAATCCAGACGACATTGTATCACGGTCTTACCATGGAGGTGTGGAGCTATCCTCCCTAAGGTCGACCTTAAGTAACTGGGCAATACCTTTTGTCATTCGGAAATCACAATCTTGGCTCGTTTTGTCCGGTCCCGAAATTAGTCCTTTTCTTTTGACGACATACGACAAATGACTGCTAACTGTGAGACCTGCTCAGGAATAAAGCCGAAATTCCATCTTAAAACGACCGGCCAATTGATCAAAGTCACACCCCACTCGAAATACTATTCATCGATTCTAGGGGTCCACTCCCACTTTCGCTCCTCGAGCGAGAGTCATTGAAGAATACTTTAGTGTAACGTCAGTCAACAATCACTCACGTACTGGAAGCAAAAGACCCCGGCACACCAATTCAGAAAGTAACGATTTATTCGACAAATAAAAGGCATAAGTGGGATGAATGTTAAAAAACAGTAACACAAGCGCAACATATAAAATAAGGTCACAGAATGGGAAGTGAATCAGCGTGACATTCATCCCCATTGAGGAAACTTATTCAGTTTCAGCATATGGGGGCACCGTTATTAAGATAACAAAATGACCAACTCAGGCCACTTTGTTGCGCCAATTATACGGGCGAGTTTGCTCTCGACTAGTGAAGACGACGGCAGTCGTTTTAAGTGTAAGAGTGTTGAAGGCGGATGGAGTTATGGGTACATCGTTGGCATCATGACCGGTTGCGACATTTATGAAATATAGGTTTGTTTGTGTTGCGCCAGTGTAAATTTCAATATCTGAGTCACTTGCGATTCTGGCCTGTCAGAGCCAATCGCCGTAAAGAAGGGTTTTCTTCCTTTCCATTAGGCAGCTTACCGCGATGGTGCGGAGGACTGCAACCAACAAGCCTGACTTCCTCGATTATCGAATCAAACTTAGAGGATCGATCAATCCGCCTCGGCAGTATAAGGCCTGAGAGAACGATCACCCAGTGTGAAGCTGTAGATTTATGTTTTTAGAGCTAAAGCGAAAGCTTTCCAAACCTTATGGTTCAGGCGGTCTAATTGTCCATTTCCTTTGGGATTGTATGCAGCTGTGTGACTGAAAGCGAAGGCCTTGTCTCGCAGGGACTCAGACAGCTCGGTCGACACAAGACTCATCCCTCGGTCAAAGTGTATGTGCCCTGGTACTCTGAATGTGATGACAAGCTGGCATAAGCCATCGAAGACGGTAAATTACTGCGTATAGCACAAGTAGACTTGAAGGGTAAATGCCAGTATTAGTCAACGATGGTCGGGATATATCGCTTACGAATTTTCCGGGGCAGAGAGTATTCGCATTCAGAGCCGCATCCTTTGAATGGTTGCGTCTCTCTGATAAGACCAACGATGAAAATGTTGTAGAGTTGTGGTTTTATTTCCACACAGATGCTGCACCGCGGACTCGTGTGTTCAACCTCCTGAATCGAACAAGGCAGGAGTATAGATTGTACGAAATGGATTACTCGAAAAACTCCAAAGGGGCACACAGAATCATGCCGTTCTCCTAATTTGGCGGCGTCAAAAATAGTACCCCGTAGGTTGCTAGAGGCATTACCTGCAGCTGCATTACCTTCACGTTGCCTGCAAATTACTTCGCAGCAATACACATTGAATTTCGTCGCTTATCATCTTGCTTAATTGTCTGCCGCGGCACACGAAGGCCGCGGGTCGTAGTCCGTGAGAAGTTTGAGGTGGTTGCCTTGGTGATAACGTTGCCGCATGCAAACAGCCTTTACTATTGCACGCGCTTCCTTCTCGATAGCAGAATGATTCTTTTTGCTGGCTTCTAGTGTGCGAGAGAGGAAGGCTACCGGACGATTATTCTGACTCAGCAAGGCGGCTGTTGCGACGTCCAAAGAGTCCGTTTTGACCATCAAAAGAGCACTTTGGTATGCCTTCACGACCATAGAGCTTTCTGTTGCCTTTTTAGGGAGTTCCAGGGCACTGTGGGCACTTTTTGGCAGATGAAACGTTGCACTCTCCATAAGTGAGTTTATTTTATCAGAGAATGATGGTATTCACGGTTAAAAGTAGGAAAATGTGCACTTGGCGAGACACATGGTCTTCGTACCATTTGGTGGAGTGAACTAACACGGGGGTCTCGTCCGCCAGGATTGGATCTTACTTCTGGCGGTAGCAGGTAACATAAAGGTTGTATTTTGCCTTTGGCAGTCACAGTTTTAGTAGTAGAGAATATTATGCCACATTTCGCGGCTGCAGTAAGGAAACACCCAAGCTTTCAATAGTGGTCACGCCGCTTACTATTACATTTTCCGCTGAGATAAACGCGTGCGTGAACCATCAGGCTTCAGAACTTTGTCAGGGGTGCTATGAAAATAGGCTATTCCATCGGTAACTCCAAAATGTATACTTTGAAATCGATGGAGTAGGCCATATGTCTCAAAAGCCTCATATGACGTCTCGTGCTCCGCCTTGGGAACCTGACGACAGGCACTCTTAAAATCTAGGGTGCTGTATGTTGCATATCGAACATTTGGCAAGATTAGCTTTTACGCTTGAATTCCTCGCCACTGATGCCTATTGCACCCAGTTTCCCAGTTCGACCTTTCGGCTAACTTTCCTGCCTAGTCCCTCCGTAAAATCTTGCTCAAGCAGTTCTGAACGCTGAGGCTGTAGCTTTTGACCTTGCTGGTTCTGGCATTGCTGTCAGTGAAAATGTTCTAAGAGCCGCAGTAGGCCGTCGCCTACTTGCTTTTAGGCCCACAGATTCGTGCAAAATGAGCAGCCGCCGCTCCGATAGACACAATCGGCTCATCGTTTTAATGCAAGCATTCGCCAACCGCAGCCCAGATCTAATCACAGATATTTCAACCATAAACTGCACGACCTCTTACACAATGTGAATCGGGCTGATGTCGTACATTTTTCAGGGGATCTGGATGCTAGAGTGGGTCGGCTGTCATTAAATGAGACGCCTCCAGAAGGTCATTTTGGGCTGAACTACTGTTGCTTTAAAAATGGAATGAGGTGGTTGTCCTAAGGTTCTGATCACCGTTTCTTTCTCGCCGGTACTAACTTCGGGCGGTTTAGTGGCCAGTGCTCCAGGTGTTGTCCGTCTTACCTGAGTCAGCAATCGACCCGCGTTGCCATAAGTCACAAGTGGCGGGGTCGCATACAAAGTTGTCGCTCGTACTGAAGCACCTTCTTGATTCCGACCACGCATTAGTTTGCACTAAGCTGTCTATGTGCTTTGGTCGGCGTTCCAAACGAATGCTGCAACGAAAACTAGATTGCGATAAGCCCCCTGATCCACCTTGCTCGCCCACCTTCCAAAATGCGCTGGCTGGAAACGTGGCTGCAGCCCCACCTAATTTTATAAACCGGTACTGGTCTATTACCAGGAACGCTTTGCAATCTGCTGGCCTCGTAAGTTGCGGTTTGCCTCGTCATGCAGCAAGACTACGGGCTTCTTCCCAATCTATGCGTCTTTTGGACTCACCCCAGATGACTCCGGACAGAAGCGAGCATAACGAAGCGAGTGTACTCAACGCGAGTCCTCGCAGGGAACGTGAAATTCTGTGGTCGCAAAGAATATTGCTGTGAATAGTTGTACTTTCTGATCGTGCCTTGTGTATGTGCCTTGATCACGATCAAGAAATATACCAATATTATCAGTTGAAAAGTGCCTCCGCCATGGGAAATTCCCACAAGCTGTCCTATCTTATCCGAGTCACCGGTAAGAAGCTACGCGGCTTGAGTAAAGCAATCTGTGAGGCTGATAGTTAGCCAACTCACAACTAGAAGCGGCTTTTCGAACGCTGGGTTGAGCGCTACAAGATAGAGTTTAGATGGCCCCCGGTGCCGAGCTCTCTCAAGACTCTTTCGGCACAGGGCCAGATATTTGAAATGGGATCCAGGCCTGGGGAAGTCACATTTAGTCGGGTTCCGATGGCATCCTCGCAGCCCTTTTTGAAGATGGTGGGGTGCTGCTGGTTGAAGAACTTCATGCTCTGTTCTCAGACGCTTGCAGCTCTCTGCAAGGTTCCTTCCTTGTGGAGGGAACCTGTTGTAGTTCCCACCTTCGGGAACGGTTCCTCCCTAGTTGCGCTAATCCAAAAGGTGTGAGCTTTAGCCTAATGGATCCGAAGCTGCTTGCGGCTGTCGTGCTTAACAGGTTGTTCCAAAGGCGTGAAGAGCAGCCTCGAAGACAGTGGTCCAGGATTTTTGCCGGTCTTGGAATAATCGTTCAAACCTTCACCCCCCCCCCCTCCAAAAAACTGCTAGACTAATATCATGCTTTCCCGGGGCCGAAAATCATCGCACCCCTGGACATTTGCTCGGCCCTGGACTTCATTGATAAAGCTAGAGTACTGAACTATATGTTGAGAAAAGTGTACCTGAGAAATGTGTCTAAGTTTTCTAAGAGCTGTTTCGTCACACCTCAGATCGGTTAGGGGCGTAGTGTCAGCTTTCGCCCCTTTTTGTCATCTCCGGTGGAGTTTGAAAAGGTTGCGGTCCCCTAGTGGACGAAGTAGAACTGGATGAACGGAGTTCGAAATACTTTTTCCTTTGTTTCCTCGAAAGATGAGAGAACTCGAATCCTGTGCATTACTTGGCGCCAAAAAGGCAAGCCTTAGAAACATCAGTGGCTGTGGAATTCGCCGGAACTCAATTTCCGACCATAAGTGGTGACTCGCAGCCTTTGCCCGACTCCTTTTGTAATTTCCTCGAAGCACAATAATCCGCAGACAATGCCTCCTCCCACACATCCACATCACAATCCTATTTTGGAGAATCTAATGCACAATTTGGTAAAAAAGTAACCGCCATCCCCCCCCCTATAACCTGAGAAACAGGAGAGCTTGAAATACTCGGGATGCCAAAGTTTCCGATCAAACCGGCCTGCTGGGGTGAATGCCATTTTCGCATGCACTTTTTCATCTACATTTGTTTCATAACCGATGTCCTCTGAACTCCCTCCTTCGTTACCATCGAGTTCAGTTGTTCAGTTGTATGCCGAGCAAAGGCTCAGTTATCGGCCTCTGTCTCAACCATACGTGAAACGTAGGGCCCCACTGTCGCCCTTACCAACCCGGGCTGTAATTTTAAGATTCAACACCCCGTCTAGGTAATTCGTAAGCACGATATACAGTATAGCCAGAGTATCCGTGAGAGGACATGGTTTTCTTCGCCTGCACTGCCTATCTTTGCACCTCGGTACGCTCAATAATTCTCCACAGACCAGGCCCAATAAGATCTCACCGGAATGCGATGGGCTGTCATTAGAGCACCACTAGACAGAAAACCGGTGAGACCGAAATGCTCACCTTACCCTTGTACCGTAAAATTTTGGTTAGCACCTTCAACTTTTTCCTCGGAATGTTAAGTCAGCGATTGTTGGATACCAAAATTCCACGGGCAGACAGTATAGCTTTCACGCCACAGATTTCTTTTCTTATCCATGTCCCTCAACGTCTCTAACCATCGACAATTCTCGTCCCTTGGGCTCAAACCAAGGGGTCAAAAGCTCTAATCCATCCCCTCGTATCTCTACGCCAGGCCATGGCCTGACCGCCGAATGACTCCTGCCAAGTGCGATTGGGGCACGGAAAGCTAGACGATGGGCGGGATATCCTGAACCGTCACCAAGCCATCTGAATCGGTGTAAAGCGGTCATTCGATAAGAGGACGGCTACCCGCGCCCAGAAGACGACGGAGAGCCCAGATATAATTCACGTGAAAGGCCCATATTGAAAATCTTTCCGAATATTTCACACTCTCAGCGGATATGACTATATTCAGCCCTACCTAACTAAGGTCTTTCATACACGACACTCCGCAATCTACGTCAGATTGACACATGAATAGACGTATCTGAGATCAATATGATGCTAAAAGGCAGTAGAATTTGCAATGCGCAATGGTTATTCCAGTTGAATTATCAGCAGCCCCAGGAATAAAACGCCGTCTCTCGGTGATCCAAGTGTAAAAATGACCAACTTCAAGACGACCGATTGGCCAGAACAGAGGTCAGAGGAACTGACTAATAAGAATTAGGAAAATGAGTGTTCCAGTCATAGAATCTGACTACTGGAACAGTACTCGGTAGCAAAAGGTGGAAAACGGAACAGCACCAACGGAGTGATACACACTGGGTTGTTGCTGGGCCATTTAGAGCGACCGGGCTTATTCCCAAGTAGTTTTAAGTCCATAGACTTATTTTTAAAAAGTTGCTGTTGGACAATGCTCGACTGCATCGTGCCTGTTAAGTCGTTCCTAATAGCATCGTTTTGATTTTGCTCGGCTGTCGTTGCCTGGGAATTACAATCATTAACTAGGGGTTTTCGGCTTTTGGAAGAACCTATTAGAAATCCTGCCTCGTTTCCTGTTTGCACGTTGAGAGTAGATAGCGCGCGAAGACTTTATTGGGTGGTCTGATAAACAATTTTCAGGGGTTTGAATAGCATCGTCGTACGACGTACATTCAGCCACATAACCGTGTATTGTTAGACAGATATAGCTGTACAGGAAGTCAAGCTTCTCAAAATCGTCTACGCTAACTTAAGCGAGAAATCAATCGAACATGTAGTAGTCGAGTTCGGAGCTGCGTCGAATCGTTTAAGACGTAGATAGCGTTCCATTTCGAGACCAGTTGTATGTCGAATAAATTTAAACTTGCTTACGAAATCCGGTTGGTTGAGACAGACAAAACACAGAAGTCTAGAATTTAAGCTTTATTCGACCATTGGTATCTGCGATGAATACTACAAGTGGCTTGGCGCTACGTTTTCAAATCGTGCTACTAGACAACGCTGCTTTATTATCAAAAAAATAGTCCGCGTTCCTCCAGTGTCAAGGATGGTATTGGTTTCGAAATATCATACGACGTTCAAATACACAAATCCCAAAACAATGTCTCTTCTACCTCTAAAATGACACTGTCACCTTGAAGGACAGATGAAAACATGGCTCTGTACTGTTAAATTTGATGTTGGGTGATTAGGACTTCAGTCTGTCTATGAAGTTTCCAATTGGAAGCAGAAATGGATTTCTTTGTGCTCACGTCTTGCCTCCGATTGTCACTTACAAGTAGGTGCTATCTGTGACATCCATGAAGCCGGCTCTTTTCTTTTCTGTTTTACATGCTTGCGCATGAGTGCAATGGAATGGGTATACCCCATAGACACAGAATTTCATTGCACTAATAAGAATAACCGGCAACCAAACCCTGAGACTTGAAGTGAAAAACCACGTAAGGTCTCGATAGGTCAGGCCAGTGGATTGCTGTTTACCACCAAAGTGACCGGTGGTGGCGAGGATCAGATCCGCCCGCATCCGCGGTCGTAAACAAGTGCTTCAAACCACCAGACCGCCACAGGTCGCCAAATACATGAAAGTAGTTTCACTTTACTGACAGATGATTTTGCGGCTGCGAGTAGGGTGATTTGTATCGGCAGTTCCCCTAGTTAGTACAGCGTGGTACCCAAGGCCCAGCTGAAGAAAGGCGAGTAAAGGAAGAGCTTTCCGGCAATCTATGGTCGTCAGTATGTCAAGGTGCGCAACAAAGACGTTAGCATCCAGAAACCCCACAAAATGAGATTTTTACTAGTGCCAGACAAACACGCGCACAGCTCGTTTGGAGCTCGATACAGACATTGGCGGTCAAAATGAACGAAGGCAACAGCTAACCATGTAAAAACGGCGGCGGATGATTAAGCCGCAGAAGGCAGAGACCCTCCTAATGTACTTCTCAACCGTCTCAAAGCAGCATGAAATAGTGAGGTTAACGAAGGACGAAGGAAACGAATGTAAATTGAAACAAAATGAGCAGAAAAAAACGACGTTGTAAAAAATGGAGACAAGATGAAAACAAGAATTTTACATAAAATTGAAATAAAGAATCAATGCGATGACACTGGGTGACGATGAAGAGCAAATCCTGGAGAGGGATAGAGAGCAAACTTTTGTAAAGTGTAAGGAACAAAAGGGAGAAAAACATATTCGACGGACGAGAAGGGAGGAGGAGAGACGGCAGACAGCAACCCAAGCCGTCCAAGCAGATAATGAAGATGAAAGAGAAAAAAGAATGGTGGCCAGTTGCGTCCCTCGCAAACCATTAAAATGGAAAAAGTGAATCCGTAGGCCATTAGCACCATTTTACGAACACCTGCCCCTACGGTCCACATACACGCCAACGACCTACAGCACTCTGACATGCCAGTTCCTCCCAACCTGGTGGGTTAAAACTGACTGTGTAGTAAAAGATAATTTGCGCCATGCGGTACAGGTGGGACTTCCCATCATTCCCCCTCTTTGAATGGCGTCAACGGGTGGACATTATGGAAATTGCACCTGAGTTGCTTCCATTCTGTTAAAATGAAAGGCGAGTACTGCCGGGGACGTAGTAAAAACCTGGGTAACTGACAATGGCCGCAACAATTGCAACCGGGTATTGTTCCTATTTGCGGATAAAACCAGGAAGAACGAGGGGGCTCACACGCGGAAGTAACTGGAATGACAATAAAGTCGGCCTCCAGTCGGGGCTTAAGAAGGCCTTGAGATTAGGTCTTCGGAAACTTGCGCAGTGGGCAGCGACCTCCGAG